TGTGTTCTTCCCCCAAATTCTTTTTTTTTTTGGGGGGGGGGGGGAATATCGTCCTTCTGACATCCGATAAATATTCAACGTGTGTTTCAATCATTAATTCACGACAGAATTCCATGTACAGTCTCACGTGTCGCGTGAAATTGACGGAGAACGTTCCAGAAAGATTACATAAAATACACAAAATCTACGTGTATATGAATGAGGACACGCAAAATCATAAGCAGATTTCTACTTAAATTGTCCAAAATGATGTTCATGTGCGATCTTATCTGTTTCAGTTCCACTGGAGATGCAGATTCTCACGAGGGAACACTTTAACCGTTGGTACCGACTAGCACCATATTATATCAGCATACTGCTTATCGAAATACCTTTTCAAGCAGCCTGCGCGGCGACGTATCTTATCGTGAGTTACTGGTTAACCGGTCAGCCCATAGAGACGAATCGTATAATAACCTTCATGATAGTCAGCATAGCTGCCAGTCTAACAGCGCAGGCATGGGGTTTCTTTATTGGCGCTACCACACCAATTAAGGTAAACTTCCTCCGATGCACGCAGGTGCTTTTTTCCCTAAAAAATGTAACATATCATATAAATACATATATATATTTAATTATACAATTATTCTGGATTTAGAATTTCCAAAGTAATTCTGTGGATTTGCAGATTAAAAAAATTAGATTCGAGCGTTTGTATATATCCATTGATGTGTATAGATCTTATAAATCCGTAAATTCAATAACGCGAGTATGAATCCTTGTGTCGCGCACATTTGCAGATATAATTTGCGAATGTAACATGAATCTGAATATTTCTCTGCGAATGTGCACATATCTCTGAATCCATTGAGAACTATATACATATAGATTGTGTACGCTAAAATATTTAACTTTAGATATTCATAGAAGGAAAAAAGAAATATCGAACTTGATGATTCTTTGCAGATTGCGGTCTTTGCCGGTCCCATAATCGCAGTGCTGTTTTCCATTTTCGGTTTTTGCATACGTTATGTAGATACCCCGCATGCGTTTCGTTGGATGTTCCATATATCGTATTTCCGTGCCGGCTTCCAAAGCCTGCTATACACTGTATACGGATTTGACAGGACGGACTTGAAGTGCGACGAATTTTACTGTCATTACAAGAAACCCACCAAGTTTCTCGCAGAGATGGATATCGTCGACGTAAACGTGGTAAACAATTTGATATTGATACTTGGTATTGGTGTACTGATGCATCTTTTAACTGCCAGTGCGCTCTGGTGCAAGCTCAACAGGAGATGAGCTAAATATATCTCATCGATACAGTATTGCATATGGTTTCTACAAAAAGAGTGATGTTATTTTGCAAATTGTGAGAAAAAAATGTGGAAATATTATATATAAAATATTTAGTAGATACTTTGTTGGAAAAATTAGCACTAGAGACCATTAAGCATAAGTGAAAGAATCATTAAAAGAGGCAAAATTATTATTTCCGCTTGATTTTGTCTCATTTTATGTTCTATAAATTTTTTCTTCAAATCGTTTTGTTTTCGAGGACTTTTTAAGCTTTATAGTAAAATTATTTTAAAATATCGCAATTCGGAATTCTTTTGCTTTGGTTGCGCGTGCGTAACAAGACGAAGCGATAATATAACCGAGAATTAAGATATGATAAGATTTGTATAAAGCTGAGTGTCTGTAAGTATGTGTACATAAGCCCGAGTGATATTAAAGGGCAGACATACACGATACAGCGTATCTGTATGTGAGCATTGCTATTATAATTTAGATTCATATCATGACATATTTAAAGCTTTAAGAATGTCCTAAACAATATAATTGTAGTGCTAGTTTGTAAATTTTGAAATGTTTATTTAATTTACATTTTTTTAGTATTATACCTATGGATGCATAAAGTTATCTAAATTATCTATATAAATGTAAACATTTTTAAAATAAATATATACATTTATGTATGTGTATATGTATAGGTATCTTAGAGAGCTCGCATGGCTCAAAGTATAATGCAAAACACATCATTGTTCATTGCTAGCTATAAATGTACATATCTTAATTAATCTTTCAAGATTAATCACGATCTTGGATAATAATACTTTATAATTATACATAATGTTTGCATAAATTATAATGTACATAAATTACATCATAATACAGATATATATATATATATATATATATATATATATATATATATATCTGTGCTATGATGTAATTTATGTACATTATAATTTATGCAAACATTATGTATAATTATAAAGTATTATTATCCAAGATCGTGATTAATCTTGAAAGATTAATTAAGATATGTACATTTATAGCTAGCAATGAACAATGATGTGTTTTGCATTATACTTTGAGCCATGCGAGCTCTCTAAGATACCTATACAAGGCATATCTGTGGAAATCATCTTGAATAATCAGTTTTGCTTTAAAAATTTGTTTATTTATATGACATTATACGATATTTCTTTTTATAGAGTCTATATAATAAAATTTATGTCCAGTAAAAGCATTTGAGCAATTACTGTAACAAACTGACAGATAACTTACTGTAGGTATATTTATACTTCACTTTAAACTTAATTAGAATCAATACACATGAAGATATACTAATATATTCATTATTTTTTGATTATAAAGAGCACATACTAAACGACTAAGCATTACCTACAGAATAATTACTTTTATCGTATTAATAACAATCATAACAATAATCGCAGTCTTGTTCGTTACTCGTATATTAACATAATTCTTGAGGATATTTCTGTTGCATGTCATTTATGTGTATATATATATGTGTGTGTGTGTGTGTTTGTGTATGTATATATATATATATATATATACATATATATATATGTAAGTGCCATAAACCGCACAAGAGTGATATTGCTATTGTAGCTTCTACAAGGAAGATAATACTGTATCTTTTACTAACTTATTTTCTCTTGTAGCTTTAAGTTTTAAGTATTAAAACAGAATAAAAATAGCGACTAGAAATAAAATTAATGAAAGACTTAACAATGTACATAATTTTCCACAATGGTAATTACATGGATCTGAAGCAATTTACATTACATTACATTATTATTTTATGGAATATTATATGTGATGATAAATTGTGATGTGAAATTGCATGTTTAATATACATGTTATAAACTTTGTAATTTTTATATACATCATTGAATGTGAATATAAATTCTAATAAAACTAGAATAAATATTTTTTAGACGACATAAAACAACTTTATAATTTTTGTTTTAATTTATCGTTTTCCCTTAAATACAATCTAAAATTCTGTATAATAAAATAATAGAAATAACACATAATAAACACTCTCCCAATTCTTTATAGAATTTTATTGATTTCTATTTGGATGGACTCTCTATATTATGTTAGTGAAAAAATGATGAGTTATTGACAGAAATTTATTATTTATAATTTCAAAAATATCTCAAGAGTATTATAAAAAATTGTTAAACTCTTTCAATCTTTTTCAGCGCTGTTTAGATATTTGATTTTGACAAACACAAGACTTGTATAATACGATTACAACATTGCAACTCTAAATATTGACATATTTTTTTAAATAAAATAATACACTAATTATAATATCATTAAAATCATGTCGCATTGTTTACTATGGAAAGAAGACATAGGTACTTGTACACTTTAAAAATATTTTGGCATTTGTTCCTCATTGATATATATTGTATCATTTTTTTGTACGGTATATTGTTGCATCGTTTTAAAAATGTTTCTAACTTATATTTTGATGTATATTAAACATTGAATCTCTTGTATTATAAATTGCAAAACGCTTTGATTTACAAATAATGCTTCATCATTCAGTGATGCCCAAATATTTGAAAAAGTTGAGAAACACATCATCGATACACAATCTATTTAAACGAACCGATGGCACTAATGAAAAAGATATTAAAGATATATCTAAGAATTATAAATCTGCAACTTTTTATTTACAATTTAGATGTATGTTTTCTTCCTGTGAAAGTGAGAAAAAAAGAGTAGAATCATAAATTTTGGAACTCTACTTAAATTTATGTTTCAAAAATTATTTTTTTATTATTATTTTTTTAAAACAATATACTTTTTGTAAGTACAATTTAGTTTCCGAAGCAGGTCGAAAGGATTTTGTCCAAAACTGCAATACTTAAATATCTTTCATTGATGCCGTCGAAACAGCAGTTATAAATAGAGTACAGCGAGGCAATTTGGATAGTGAAGCATTTTATTGAATAATATTAAGATTTAACGCACGTGCTTGGAGAGATGCTGTATTGTTTGTTTGAGCGATGCGATGGAAAGTCTTTCAAATGTTTATGCTTTGTTTAGTGGCGCTATAACAATTGTAAAAAAATTGAAAATTAATTTTATCCTATTCAAATAATCCCGCCGTACCCTATATTATATATATGTATAAATAATACTAATATTAATAGCCTAATTTGTATATGGAATATATCTCACAATTATAGACACAATACTGCAAATTAATAATTTAACATGAATGAGACATATAATTTTTATTGAAGACATTAATTAATTAAAACAAAAATGATTAAATATATAAGAAAAAAGTAGTTTTTATACCTGATGAAAATTGAAGTTAAGTTATTAAGGAGAAGACACATAAAATTACAATTAGAAAATATAATTTTTATGCCTACTATTTACAATATAGGATTTTATATACTGTCTTTACTTAAATTTAAAAGTTATATCTCTCCTCAATCGTAAGTTCTCACTGAATGTTTCACTTTTCTCTGCGCCTCCGTTTCATCTTCTGTACCATAAAGATGAGATCGGTGTTTCATTTCAGTCGCAACAGACTTTAATAAACCAACAGAAAAACAGAGAAATAAACATAAGAATATAACGTAGGTGTTAAACAGAAGAAGGATAAAATATATCAAAATGAATGAAATAAACCACGTTGATAGAGATACTATCCATTATGATAGTAATCTCAGACTAAACTCACCAAACGAGAACGCACTCTTTTTGGCATATCTTCTTGTAAACTGTGAATTTCGTTGCGCCTTAAAACGAGTTGCGAACCGTCCTCGAAAATCACCTAAACAGAAAGATCGCGCAATTCGTTATTAATAATTAAGCGATTAATAAGGAATAAATTCTTATCAAATCTTATATTCATAATATCAGTGTTTACTTACAGTAAACATTATCCGATGATTTGTACCTTCAAAGATACCATCATACGTTTGTCCATCTGTCCAGTTTACAGTCACCGCGGCTCCGAGTGGCGGTGTATTTCCAGGATCATAATTCTAAACAGAGAAATTTCAGTACAATATAAAGTATATTTTTCAAAGAATATCATATATTTTTACTTATATATATATATATATTTTTTTTACAACAATTTTTATTTTAATAAGCTTCAGACAAAGAATAGAGCAGAAATAAAACTGTACAACTATAGACAGAGAAAGAGAAGTTAATAATTTGACAAAATAGACTGCACAAAAACTTACGATTATGTCAGAGGGAAACAAATCATCGCTAAAACTGTTATCGTTAAATGTAACCATGTAAAAAAGAATATCCTGAATAGATTCGACTTTGGCTTGATAGTATCTGGTATTTCGATGTTTTGCCCAAACGACTTCACCTTGCCGTATCTGCGGTATTTTTTCCTTGCCTTCGTCGTGCCCGTTACATGTTACCTGTGGATGGCGTAGATTAAACGTTAACATTTTACCGTGCAATTTTATGTAATCGTGTATCTTACGATTATTAGATTGTATTGTACCTGAAGTTCCTGCGAGTTGTATACCGGTATAATAAATGTGGCACCCGCTGCGAGACCACAAGACGGATGAAACACATTGGTACATTGATTACATTTTAAGCACGCTCCACCATCCTGTCCGCAAAAGCAACATTTCTTGTGACACGAGTCCTCCATAATCGTCAATACGTTGATGGGATCTTTATTTATGGAATCTTTGAAAGTGGCTCCTGGTACCATAAGCGTGCACAAGATGTGTGCCCATCGACTATCGCTAGTGCGTTTTAAAGGACCGCCGAACATCGGGCACAAACAACACATCTAATTTGTCGTAACAATAGAGCGAGATTAGACGAAACGCATGTTTGACGAGATAAAGAGAGAGAAAAGAAAATAAAACAGATTTTTCAACACGTACCACATCGTTTCTACCGGCTTTACATCTGTCGCAGGCCCAATTTCGGATATCCTTAGGTAATATAGTTATACCGTAACAGGACGCGTGAACAGTCACGTGGCACTCTCTACATCGTAAGAGTTTATTGTTTTCCGGCTCCAAAGCCTGTTCCTTGGAATTGGCCGCAAAAATACTGGCGGACACCTGATATGTGTATATATATAAATTATTCATTCAATAAGATATCTTTGCAATTTATTGTGTACATTTACATTGGCTTCAATTGAAGAGAGAAACGAGTTAATAATTATTAAACATTTTTTTTCTCACCCATATCGGCGTGCTTTCAGGTAACGTGGTCGATTGGCAATACCTCCAATCAGGTGGCATTACCCTGCTGCTTCCGCTCGTACACGAGGCAAAAGTGGCGCATATTGCACAATGAGAGACTTGAGCGCTCCAATAATTATTGAACGCTCTCAGCAGATCGTTATTTGGTACATTTGGATAAATCATCTCCGAAATGTGTCCCGGTATCATCGACGTAATTGGTTGAGAATTACCACTGGATTGCGTTGATATTGCATCGGTTGATTGATTTGTTGTAACTTCAATCGTAGGAACAATAGACGCTGTTTGTTTTTTCCTCGTCGTAGATTTCTTTAACTTTTCTTTGGGCTTCTTTCTCAAGATAGATATTTGTGTTTGTTTCACATTAGATGAAGATAAATGCGGATGAGTATTAACTGCCGTATTTATCAAACCTTGTAGCTGCGCTTTATTATCGGATATACTTGAGCTTGATATACTTTCGCTCTCGCTAGAGTGCATGAGATCATCTACAGCCGATTTCTTTTCAATCAAAGAATGCACATTTGGATATATAGTGCTTTGCGCATTCATAACTCGCGATAGAACGTTGTCCGCATTATACACATTATAGGTCAATGCAGGTACGTCGATAGGATGATTAACTTGCGTTCCGATGGAAGTACTTGCGATATTTGTTCGAGGCGTATTCATAAATGCGTTATTGTTCGACTTGCTACTCTTCGAAGATGATTTTTTACGCGATGTTTGCCCTTTTTGCGACTTTTGGCGCGATGTACTTTTGGTGGTAATTTTTTTCAAGCTGTTTGGAACAGTTGCGTACGCAGAATTCGCAACAGTCGACGTAGTGGCAGTTTGCAAATACATCATGCTATTAGGCGCGATTTGAGAATAATTACACATGGCGGGAGAGCGATGTGGCGATATAAACGTATTTGTTTGTGGTAATACGTGCGTTTGTAATTTTGGAATATGGATAAAACCACTTTTATTCACCGTGGTGCCAGTAGACGCTTGAGCTGAGAGAGAAACGTCTCCCGAATGACAAATGAACGGACTGTTTTTCCAGAATATCTTTGCGGATTCCTTGGAATTATCCACTGTAGAGTTGACCTTTCCCAATGGTCTTTTCAGATTACTATGCTGATTAAACATCAACGGAGACTTCACGAAGGCATTATTGTTAAAAATCAAAGATTTTCCTTCTGAAGTAGAAATTGGAGTAATGGCAGTACCAGGTGGAAGTTGGTGTGAAAAATCCTCCAACTGCGGTATACTTTTAGGTGTATTATCATTTCCAATATGTGGTACTTCTAATTCATTCTGCAAAACCGGAGGGTTGGAGTGATGGAAAGTTGTATTTGGGTATATTACACTTGCAGATGAGATAGCAGATTCCGATTCTGATAAAAGCGTAATATTTGATACATTCATACTCGCAATCGAGTTCAATGAATTTTTTTGACTTATAGCAGCATTTTCAGGCTGTGAAACTCTCGATGATAACGGTATGTTTAATCGAGGCGCTTTTATCAGATTCTTATGTTTTATCAATCCATGTTCTGTAGACGTTGCTGCAGTTTTGAGCTTTGCATATGTATCCTGTTTCATATGAATAACATCTTTTGTACTTTCATTTTGATATTCAGAAATTTTTTGTACTATAGTATCATGATTCCTATTTATAGGGCATATTGTTTTGCAAGTGTCACTTTTGATATCTTTCAACAAACTACTTGTCGTTCTATCTCCCACTGTGCTGTTCATTAGTATTTCTGTGCCTTTGTCATCACTGCAGCCAAAGTTTGTCATTTGACCACTATTGGTTATATTTATGGTAGTTTTATCCTTTACATTTGTCATACTGAGCTCATTACCAAGTGAAATAATATTTCCAGGCAATGTATTGATTTTTCCTTGATTGTTAGATATATCTTTTACAGTATGAATGCTATGAAGATCAGGTAGCGCCATATTTCTATGTTGCACATTGTCATTTGAAACATCTAAAGTCGATGTGTGAGTATAGAGTGATATATTATCATGTCTGGATTTACTTTTGAACGCATGTTTCAATCTTATTTTTTTCTGCCCACTGTGACTCAAATGCTTTTTTCTCCTTTTGGTAGATTTGTCAACAACTTCAGGAAAATCTATCTTAAGAGGATCTTCCACAGGATCATTTTCTATTATAATATTATCATTATAACTTCCTTGAATCACAGGAATTTCGTCGCTATTTTCCTGGGACATGTCTTCAAAAGTACTTATGTCATCAACTTCACTTTTTATTTCAACTTTAATCACTTCCACATTCTGTGTATCAATAACTTTATTGGCTTCCTTTTTAGATTTTGATTCAATCTTCAATTTTTTTTCTCTACTTCCACTTTGCTTTCTCTTCTTCTTTTTGCTCTTCTTGCGATTGTAACCATCGTCATACACAGACGCCTCATCAACATCTAAAATAAAAAATATTTCAGATCAGTAAAAAAGAAAAAGTGGATGGATCTATACCTATTAGATTGATTAAAATAAAAATGTACAATATTTTACCCATTTCTCCTGCTTTTAACCAGATATCTTCTAGAACCTGCAATTGCTGTTCGTCCGGCTCCTCTATTTCTTCAAATTCGAGATCTTGCAAAGCCTTTTTAATATCCGGAGGTATATCCGCACGATTCACCAGTTCTTCCATATTAACAACAGGATTTGTGCCTATAATCTTTTTCTTGTGAATCATATGACGTTTATTTTTTGGTGCTGCATTCAGATAGCTCTGCGGTAATTGACCATTGCTACTGTTGTTACACAATAAATCCATTTGTGACGGCATTGGTGCAGCAGTTTGTCTAGGATCCTCAGGATGGGGACCAACATCTTCACCACGCAGCCATAAATCATACCTATGTTATTGGAATTAATATCAAGTTATATACGATAGTCTGCTATAGTAAATATTTTAACATATATGTAGTGCATGTTATGTACATAATCATATAAAACTGTTAAATAATCTTAAGCAAAGAGGTATCTACATACCTCTCTGGTTGAAAGCGTTTGACAAAAGTATCCATAGATATTTTGACCATATCTTTACTACAAGAACACTGTGTAGCTCTCTTCCCATATTCTACCCATCTAGGTGTTGCAAAGTTGGTGGATTCAGCACAATTAAATCCATGATTAAAACCAGCATGATAACCATATGGAAATGTAATCATTATTTCTCCAGCTTCTTGCGTTATCTGTAAAAATGAAAGCCGTGAAGTAGCTAAGAACAATATCTGGAATTTACAATTGTGGCATAAATGGAGAAATACTTGCCTTGTTACATGGAATAGAATATTGTCTTAGTATTTGAGGGGATATCAGAGACATTTTGTGACGCAAGAAGGCCTGGCAACTCTGATAACTCGATGGAAAAAAGCCGCTAGCTAATCTCTCCAATCTTCGTCCGTGTTCCGGAGGTATGGCGTACCACGTCTTGGGTGCACCAAAATGAAGATAATTTATAGAATAAAGATCCATATCCTCCGTGTGCCAGGCGAATGTGGTTTTCCACATTCCAAAATACAGATAAGCTGTATTGACACCGTCAATGGATATACCATAGTCTTTGTTAACATAATCCAGAATCGTTCCCAAGTGATTGATATTCCACTCCTTTACTTCTGGATCGGTCAAAGAACCAGATACGTCTGCACCGTATATCGGCGCTACGTACGTTATGTTCTTCCAATATTTCCTTTCCAGATCCTCGTAATCAAAGTGACGAGGAGTTGCATAACGTTCGGAATTGGCCAATTTACTATACTCTTGGATGGTCATTAATTTCTTTTGAATATTGATCTGTTGATAAAGGCCTTGCTTTCCAGTGACAACTTGACAGATTGGCGCTGGGATAGTGAGATCTAGAGCATCTAGGTTGTAGCCCCCTTTCCTCGGGACCCATTCTGGTGGCGGTATCACTTTTGCCAAGCCTGCTTTATGAGCTCCCTGACTCTCCATATATTCCACATATTTTGTGAAATTTTTAAATTCCTCATACGTCGGTCGAAAGACCTGTATGCGAGGTATTCCTCTTGAATTATTTGCCATTGCTGTATTTATTACTACTGCAAATCAAAGATAATTTTGAAAATATCTAATGAAATATATAGTAATCAAAAATAATTTTTAAATAACTTTAGTAGTACTGCAATTATTTTTTACTTTTATAGTACTACTATTATTTTTTATCTCTTCATGTGATTATGTATAAAAAAAATGTATAATGCGTATATGCCATGAAAATTTGTTTAAAAAAAAATATCTACTCTTTTTCTCTTCTCTTTCTTAATATATTAAAAAATATATCACTCCTGAAGTTTTTAGGATATTTTATTTCAATTTCGTTAGTAATTGTATTCTTATATTACAAAAGCAATAATTCGTTATATTCCTTAAAAAAAAACGAAAATGAACACCGTACAAAAATTTATTGATCTGTATCTAGATAAAACTAGCATCATTTTAATTCGATTTAGCAATTACTTCGTTAAATACCTATATGTATATTGAAAAACACTTCTGTCACGATGTATATAAACGATCGTTACGATGCATTTCATTCATCATGGCTCGTACGCGAATATACACGCAAGTGGGTAACCGTACATCTCAAAGAGTCTTCAAATCACGCGAAGCAATTGTATAAAAGTATCGAGAAAAACGGATAGCAGTTATGTAGAAGGCAAGAAAGAAAAACGAGTGGAAGGAGAAAAAAGCGAAAAGAATGCGTGCACGCGATTTATTTCCCCGGTAACACTTCGAAATCATAGGTAAGTTCGATGTTTTCGGAACGAAACGTGTGTGTGAGGGCGGCAGAGGAGAAGGGGGAGCAGAGAAAGGGGATCCATAAACAAAATGGTAGTTATCTATTGTTACAGGATTCTCTCCCTCGCACGACGCAAGGGATCCCCTCGACTCTCGATCGCGGATCGGGGATGTTTGTTCCGCGATTACCTTATTCCTCTTGCGGAGTATCTCCCGATCGGGAGCGAACCAGGGGATGACGAAACAAACGGGGCCTCGATCGGGGGATCGTGATCGCGGTGCGGACACTCGAGGAGAGCCGAGACGGATAACAAATCGCCCTTGCGGCGAGCGCTTATTACAGGACAGACGGGTACTTACACACGCCAGATGTACGATCACCTCTCCTGTATCAGTAGCATCGTCCTTCACGAGAAGAGATGCCCCGTCGATCGAAGTTAATCGCGCACGATTTTTGACACAACACACACAAGTTTTGGATGCAGCAGCGGATGAGCCGCGCAGCGTCGTCGCCGTACGCGCAGTGAGGTGGCGCTCGCGTCGCTCTCGCGACTGCTAGCGACATCTGCTAACGGCGTGCCAAATTCGAATATTCGCCATTTGTCACGTAGGCCAGCATAGGCGGATGTTGAGTCAATTTTCGCTAGAGAATCCGTGGTAATATTTATAATATTAAATAATAATAATAT